GGAGGAGGAGGAGGAGGAGGAGGAGGAGGAGGGAGGAGGAGGAGGAGGAGGAGGAGGACTTCCGCCATCCCGTAGGGATAAAAGGGCTGAGCTCAGGTCCCAGCTTTGGGACTCAAGTCCCTGCTTAACCGTTCGAAATATTCTCGTCGGGTCTTGGAGATTGGAAGACTGCACGGCTTGCCTATATCCCCTGAGCTGGGACTGACCGAAATAACCGCATGTGCCGCAGTACCAAATCTTCAAGCTGTGGTGGTAAATTAAAGCGTGTGAGGGATCGACCCAGCCTCCTGCGTGGTGCAGCCTACGTCCCGGGGGCAGACGGGACAACCTACCATCCACGGAGCAGAGTTGGAAGCACTCACTTTTTAACCAGTCGGACCTACACGCCTAAGTAGCAGAGCCTTTACACACGCTGCACGATCCCCCACTTTCGGTCAGGACGTGCGCGGACGCGAAGCGTGCAACAGCTAAGGGAGGCGGTGGAGGGATACGCTGCGCGGGGCGGGCCTCCTCGACGTCGCGGCTGGCCTGAGCAGCGACGATGGAGTCGAGGCCTGCGCGCAGCAGACGTTTCCTGATCAGCCGAGCTTTGTGCTCGATACGGGCGATCCTGGCACGGCCGGCCAAGGGCACTCTAGCTCGACGGGCTGCCTCCTTCGCCAGCTCATCAACCACACGATTTCCTCCAATGAGCCAGCTCGGCCACTGACGTTCAGCGACCTATTTGCCATCGAGGTGCGATGGCACTTGGATAACAGCAGCGTCGGATGGGTCCCGTTGCTGCCTAGAAAGCAACTTGGCAATGAATCTCCACAAATCTGCTTGAGGCCCTGAGGGGCATCGGAGTTGGTCCCCGTACCACCCTCGAGCCACTTCAGCACAATCTGCAACGCACAACAGAGCGCCTGCTGAAAACCGCACGGCCCAGGCGAAAGCTCGGAGCTCCCCACGGGGCACCGTTTGGCTGGCCCCCGCCAAGGGCCCGAGGATATGGGGCCCAATGGTGAGGGGATCGACGTAACTAAAACATGCAATAGCCAGCCCTATCCTACGGATCCTAGGATCGTGGGTGTCAGCGCCCCCTGAAGCATCTCCGAAGACTATCAGGGGCTCGCCAGGGACCCCTTCACCCAAGCAGGAGGGCCCGACGAGGCCCCCATTTAAAAGACCCCCGCCGTCCCAAAACTCGGAGGTAGGAGGAGGAGAGACGGAGGTCCAAGGAACTGGGATGAGGCCTCTCATCCAAAAACACGGGTAGGCCTCAGATTCGGCGACAGCCTCAGGAAGTAGTAACGCAGACTGAGCATATGCGGGTGAGCTGCCGTTTTTGGCACACGTCCAACACCGATGCAATGCCGTCTCGCGGCCATCCTTGCATCGTTCACAGACATCACTCGTACATAAATTAGCATCGAAACTCAGAGCTCTCGTCCAAAAACCTCCAGTGGCGATTGAAACCATCAACTCTGATAACTGGCGGCCTCGCTTAGCAAGGGCGAGATCATTCACGACCTTTCTGCGCGACTGCATATCGACTCCGTCGGCGAGCCCTTCACCACAAAACAACTCTGCGGCTTGACGCCACTGCTTGAGCTCCATGGTGTGCTGCAGCTCGTCCAGTTATAGGGCTGTCTGATCAAGACTCGTGAACTCGGCATCTCCGAATCTCCAAGAGAAACCAGCTTGAGCACCATCATTCGGCACATCCCACTCCACAGGCGAGACTGGAGCCCACCCTGCCTCCAGCAGGTACAGTATGACTGTGGATAGCGGCCCACGAACATGTCGACTCCGTTGCTCAGGCTTGGCGCTCAGCAAGTGCTCGACCGTCACTGGCCACGCGAGACTGATGGACGGCCTGAGTTGTGGCTCCTCCAACCACGCGGAGAGCCAGAGGGACACGCACTGCCGAGGAAGCAAAGCCCCTGGGTCCGCGCCAGGCAGGCGCAAGGCCAGGAGCGTGGACAGGCAGCGTCCTCTCTTGGAGGATCCCGCGACCGCCCCCCAAGCGCCGCCGCAGCAGCTGCATGTTGGCCCCGAAAGCGCCGTAGACCTGGTGGCCATGCACCGCCGACGCCTGGGGCCCCGACCGCTGCAACTTCGCCGTGGCGTGCCACCGCCTCGCCGCTTGGGCAAAGCGGCGGAGTCTCCC